CACTGTCCACTCTGCTGCTCCCTAGTTTGTTAAAGGGTGATCTCTCCTGTCCCACAGACTCCAAGGGAAATTAGCAGTGTTATTACCAGTGGCAGCTGTGGTGATGCACAGAATTGTCCCTCTCACAGTAATGACCTTGAGTTTTATGAAGCACCTCAAGGTTTACTAACAAGGGTAGAACTGCTAGAAGTTTGTTAATTGAAACCATGAAATATGTTAGAGAGGATACAAATGAGTTTAAAGCCAATTCAATTAGAGGTGCATCTGTTTCCAAAGCTGCTGGAGAAATGTTTATTTTCACATCACTTTTAAGGCAGCCTCTTGGAATGCTGCTGGCATGGTTGTTTAACGCTGTGTGCAGACCTTGCACCCACAACAAATTTATCTTCTGGAAGTGCAACAGTCAGGTGGAAGTGTCCCTGATTTTGCTTGTAAAACCACTGATGTCCTCCTTCTCCCAGCACAGCCCCCTGTGGCATCACTGACATCCCCCAGCCCATCACCCAGCTGCCTCCTCTTGCCTTGGCTCTGCTGGGTGGCACAACAAAAATGGGACCATAGGAGTTTCTGCACCATATATTTGTGCCTCTCTGACACTGGCACGGGGTGCCCAGGGGAGCTGTGGCTGCCCCATCCCTGGAAGTGTCCAAGGCCAGGTTGGACAGAGCTTGGAGCAACCTGGGATAGTGGAAGGTGTCCCTGCCCATGGTAGGGAGTAGAACAAGATGAGCTTTGAGGTCCTTTCCAGTCCAAACCTTCTGTGATTCCATGATAGCCACCAGAGCATGGTCCTCACTTTATCCACCTGCTGTTGCCTTGTCTCAGTCTGCACAGGAGAATTGAGGTGAGTCAGGGCTGCCACGTTGTGTGTCTGAGCCTTCCCAGGACATCCTGTGTGATCTGTGGGTCCTTTGTTTGTTAGAGACACTTTAGAGACTCCATTTGTGGCTTGTTGAGCAACAAGCACACTGTTCTTAATGAATAAATCATAGTAAAATGAGCTGTGCAGTCTAGGTAAATGCATTTGCTCATCCCACTAGGTTGACAGTGTCTCAGTAGAAAAACAATAGCACTTAAATGCAGAAAAGGCTTATTTGGTCATCCAGACCAATTTTCCCTGCCAGTTCCCAGTAGCATGTTTCAAAGTGCCCACTTAAATAACCTGGAGTTCTTGTCATTACCTCCTGTGACATCTGTGTGTGCAGCTCCAGCTCTGTGGTGCTCAGGAGCCTGCTGATGGCCCCAGTAGGACAGAAGTTCTCATCTACTCTGTCTGAATCAAATGAGCTTTATTTTAACAGTGTTTGAGACTTTGAGGAATAATAATAGTAATAATAATTTTAAAAAGGAGGTAAAAGGAAGCTTCAAGAAATAATCTAAGAATACATGGAAAGCAGGCTGAACATGGCTGATAAGTAGTTCCACATCTTTTTCTGTGGAAACAACAATTGTTTGGTACCGGGTTTTACAGAGGGGAGAAAAATGAGGGATGTGATGGATGAGTGGGAAATTTAAGGATGACACTGACAAAACCAGCTGTGTAAACTCAGCCTTGAGTTGGTCTCCCAAGCTGAGCAACAGTAGCTCAGAAATGTTATTTACTTTATTCATATTTTGTTATGGTAAGGTTATTTCTCTGGATAGTGGCTTGAATGTAGAGTTCTTTATTAATGGATTGTTTTAATAGCACATTGGCCTTGGGGCTTTTGTTTGTTTAGTATTGTGCATCATGCCAAAGCTACAAGTTTTCTAGGCATGCCAAAGCTGGGATTATTGTGGGTCTTTTTAGTCCCTTGACAACAGCAAGTTATTGCTTGGCTCCTACAGAAAAAAAAAATATCCTGGTTTCACAGGCAATGGATGAGCTGAGTACAATGTTATTTACTACTCATCATAAAAAGCCATAAAGGCATTCTGTGTCTGAGCAGAGAGGGCACATCACAGGAACGTTTTTGGAGGAAAATTTTGGTTGAATGAAATCTTTGCTCTTTAAATAAATACCTTGGTGTAGGATTAACCCTAAGTGGTTGATAGAAGAGTAATGGCAGTCTGTGAGGAGAGCTTGAAGGAAAGTTACATTCCCATCTTGATTTTGTAGAATGGACAGTCAGCTTCCTCTGGACAATATGGAAGTGTAGTGCTCTGTAGCTGGCCAGTATTTGATTATAATTGGTGTAATTAAGAAATACAGGTGAGGAAACTGAAAAAGAAATGAGCAGCCTCTTAGCAATGGGATGTCTTTGGAAATTCTGTGGTTCACTGAGGGATAACTCACAGCACTTCCTGGGGATGGAATACATCAGGTTCTTCAGTCTTCACAGAACAGTCTGTGTTGGAAGGGACCTTTTAAAGGTCATCATGTGAACCCAGTGAGCTCCCCCAGGTTGCTCCAAGCCCCATCCAGCCTGGCTGTGAACACTTCCAGGGATGGGGCATCCACAGGTTCTCTAGGCAACCTGTGCTGGTATTCTACCATGTTCATTGTAAAATCTTCTTTCTTGTATATAAGAAAGATGTTTATTATAACTTCTTCTTCATCTTATTTTTTTATAGTCTGTTTCCTTTTTTTGTCTTATATTTCTTTTTATTATAGACATAGATCTTGAGCTGCCTGAAGACTTAGCCCGTTTTACCTTCTCTGATAAGTTGATAACCCCTCTGACTAATCCTACTTTGAAACAAGGCACTTTCTTTGTTTCTGTTGAGAGTTAATTACCCAGGCTGTCACACAGCCCAAGGAAAGCTGATATTTCATACAGTGGTGGAACAGAACTCTTTAGAGAACTGCCTAAGAAATGCTTCTCATAAATCTATCATGAGAAAATTTCTTTTACTTATCATAATGTATTATGAATTACTTTGAGTGGCAACCTAAGCAGGTGGAACAGAATATCAGTGGGTTATTTGAGATTTTTATTTGGGGGAAAAAAGTGAGTCTGTTTTAGAAATATTTGTATATGCGTGTTCATGGATGTCATCTCACTGAGGTGAGCATACAAAGCATATAAAGTTGAAATATCTCAAACATTCCAATATCACTGGAATGGATTCAGTCAGAAATAATTAAGAAACCCAATTCCAGTGGGTTTGGAGCAGCAAATAAAGAGGCACCACAGCAGAGAGAGATCAGAGGCAGCAAAGACAACCAGAGCACTCTGTATGGGCACAGGTCTGCAGCACTGGGGAAGAGTTACAGCGTGAGTTAGGGGGGGAAATGATTGCAGCTGTCAGGCTGCAGGGTGGCCGCTGTAAAGAAACAGGAGCAGCACCATCACAGGGAATCAGGAGAGGAGAAATAGAGCAGCACTGAGCTGAAGGAGCTGTTGCTGCTGCTGTTTTTTAAGGCACTGTTTACAAAAGCAACATCAGTATTTCTTGTACCTCTAGAAGGAAGATATTTTCCAGCGGATGGATGCCTAAATAAGCCTGAAACCTTTCTTGATACTGACTTCAGAGTGAAGAGCAGGAGGGAGGCAGCAAATTGCTGCTGTGCGTTGATGCCCAGGCTGTAACACAGTTCCGGTTCACTGTGTGCAGCAGGCTTGGGCATGGTTCAGCCAGTAAATCCAGCTCTGAACCAGAATAATCTCTGTGCCTCAGCCTTGGTGTTCATGGTTGTCTGGGGGTTTTGGACAGCATCTGCTTCTGGGTTGAGTTTTGTTGTTTGGGTGTTTTTTCCCCTCCGTGCTGCAGTGACTGTCACCTGGGTAGATGGGGGAAACCCTTCCTAAAAGAGTAATGAAATGAGTTAATTTGGTATTCTGTAGGTGAGGAATCAAGAGGGAGTGTTCACATGATGAAAACCAAACAGAAATAAAGGGCATAAAAATGAACAGTGGTAGGGATGGAGTTCAGTTATTTCTATAACCATCATTGCCAGAGCTGTCAGAGGGATGAAGCTGCCTCTAATAAAGGCTGAACTGAGCAGCCACTGGCTTTCATGATCTAACATGAAATCTCTTTTTTGTTTAAATTAAAATAATACCTACAGACATGACAAGCAGATAATAGGAACCGGGGGAGAATGAATGCAGCATGGTAAGTAGGAAGGTGCAGGAATAATTCCACGCTGCCAACCCAGGACTGGTGCCACTAATTCCCTGGAGATCCCCAGGGCTTGGCCACCCTATGCTGCTGTTCTGCACACCAAGAGCTCCACAGCCACTGCTGGGCTCTGCAAAGTCTCTCTTCCCATATGCCAGCTCCTAAAACAGCTGTAGGGTTGTGCCTTTTTGGAGGAACCTGTTGGATTTTAATTCATGAGGTGCTGGTCGTGCAGATGTCTGGTGTTGTGATTTTAAGAGATGATGGTCGTGTGAGGGCTTTCATGTCAAACCAGCTTAAGGTGCAAGTAAAGCTTTAAAATGCCATTTTTGAAACCCATAAAAAGCAAAGCATTTGGAAAGAGGTACAAAGAGAACTTGTGAGGTGTGGGAAGCAGGTTTCATCTGCTCTCCCAAGAATAAATCCCATACTGTTCCAGCTGGCAGGCAGGTCCCTCACACATCTGATGGGAGCTGCCAAGAGAAGAGCTCTGTTGCCTCCCCCATCTTGTGGTTCTCTGTGCTGGGGAGAGAGCCTATGTCTGTCTCCTGCCTGTGCCGGCCCTGGAGATGGCCAGTGTAATGCAGAAGGAGTACACACCAAGGCTGTACACTAAATTCTCCAGAATTTGTCATGGATGGCCACAGTCTAATAAGGAAGTTAATTACCACATATTGATGACCACCAGCTTCACAACAGGTACTATTGCCAGCGTGTGTCCTTTACATCATTCCTTTTTATCACTGCCTTCTTTGGACTAAATCAAGTAGAAATTAATTTTAGTCACTGCTGTTCTTCACAAATAATACCATAACCTCACATTGGATGGTGGTGTCAATCTGCCAAATGCCTTCTCCTTAAGAAGTTCTTGTTTTGTGTTGGTTGCACAGGTCGCATCAGAGGATGGGAGTTTGTTGGTTGTGATGATTAAAACCTGTCTTAAATCTTTGGTTTAGGTTACATTGAAGAGCCTTGCACGGTCCCATGCCCGTTTGATTGCAGATTAAGCGATTGGTCCAGTTGGTCTCCTTGCAGCTCCTCCTGTGGACCGGGGGTCAGAGTCCGATCCAAGTGGCTCAAGGAGAAGCCCTACAATGGAGGTCGTCCCTGCCCCAAGCTGGACCTCAAGAACCAGGTGAGCCACGTTCTGACAGCCAACAGAGCTCTGTTTGCTGTGTTCTGAGTCGGGATCCAGAGTTCCTGTGCTGGTGAAGAGGGTAAAGATAGGAGTTATCTCTGGCACCACACCTTGAGTCACCTTTTGTAGGCAATCCTTGATCTTCTGGAGGACTGGGGGAGAAATGCTCACATATCAGCAGAATTTGACCTGAAGCACCATATTTCTTATATGAAGAAATTGTTATCTCCCAGAGCACAGGAAGCCCTGGAGTAATAATCCCACCTGGATAGTGTGTAGACATCAGAGAACTCAGATGTCATGGATATTTTCAAAACTTTTTCATTCTTTCTGAGACTCTGGTTGCTGTAGAAACGTTTGTTAAATAAAAATTGCTATTTTTAGCAACATTTCCCTTCAACACAGCACAGGTTCCCTTGAACATTAATCTCTGTATATTCAATATTGAAGTATCCCATCAGAGGAAAATAATCTTTAAATTACTACTCTTAAAGGAAGATCAGCTTCTATTTAAATGCTACTTAATGCTGTATGCATTTCTGCAAAGTGCATAGTGATTTCCTACGTTTGCTGATTAATTCTCTAACACTAATTAACACTGATGAAGTACTGTTTAGTTTTGTCTGCCCTATATTTCAGATTCAGCCATGAAAATTAATTAATAGGACAGAAACAGTCATGCTGAAGGAAGTCCATATATATGTTAAGAAGAATTTGAATATGTGTATGTATAAAATACGTGATGTGTAGAAGTCCTTCGGTGGTATCATACAAAGATTTATTTGGTAGGTGCTAGAGATGGTGGATTCAGTTGTTTTTCTGCACAACTGTTGCTGCAGCAGTCATGTCCTGGAATGCAGCACCACTTCCAGCTCCTGAGTATGAACTTGCCTCATTTTCCTAACAGTTAATTTTATTTTCCTGTGAGAAACTTAGTAAATACTCCTTGGATATTTTTTTTCCTTCTTCTTTTTCCTTATTTCTATTTGAAATTCATTGGAAGTAGGCTAACAGAAGCAGCAGGGACTACAGAAATATAAAACTGCTATAAAGTGTACGTTGTCCATAGCTCAGTGCTTTCCTTAATAGATCAGACAGATCACCAGAGAGGCAAAGTGAAATCCCACAGTAAGTGATAAGGTAACAATAAGCTCCTTTGTAATGAAAAGATACTGGGGTTTGTTACCCACAGACACAGCAGACTCCTTCCATTAATAGCAAACTTATTGCCATCATGTGTTGCTTATTCCCACACACATTAGAGTTGCCAGTTTCAAAAGCCTTTCAGAGGATATTAAAGGAAAGAAATTGTTCAAACTTGGAAGTTATGTCTTTGCACAGTTTATTGGTGCACAGTGCTTGCAAAGTGCCAGGGCTGGTATTAATATAAACGTGGTTGGTGCTTTTTGCCTCTTTACCAGGAGCACATGTCATGATCTAAAACCCACTAATTCAGTAGAGGCTTTCTGTTGCAGGCTGTAGTACAAATAATGTGTTCAGATTTGTTTGTTTAGGTTTGTGACCTCTTGTTTTTCAAGGTGTTCTTTTGGTTGCTTGCTTTTTGGAGTTTTTGTTTCTTTCCTTGTGAGTTTTTTTAGGATAAAACAGAAACTCTTTCAAACTGATTTGGCAGACAAATGGTTTATCTTCTTGCAATTCACATTTAAAGGATTGAGGGCAAGTCTATATATTTCAGAGCTTTTAGGGTAAGAAGCAATGGTTGTGCTAATAAGAAAAGTGTGTGTATATGCACACAAATGCACATGTTTTGCCTGTGATTCTGTTCATTGCCTTCCTGAAAGCTTCTCAGTACTTTGTGAGCTTCAGAAGGAGTTTTGCTCTGCATCCACTGGGCTTGGACTTCCAGCCCAGATTTAACACACTGAGGTCCCTTGGCACATTGCAGGATGCACAAGTTGCCTACCCAGATGGTGAAGTAAATGAGCTGATGGCACTGCTGCTGAGCTAAGCTGGACACATACCATTAATCCACTGTCAGGCAGATTGTGTGCTGCTGTTCCCTCTGCTCTGGGCAGCTTTTAAATCCTAGAGCAAAGCTCTACAGATTCATTATATATAAAAATGTGACATCCTAATTATTTTGTATAATCTGGATTAAATACCTGCAGTAAGTGCTGGCTTTTGTTTGGTATCAGATAGGGGAAAACCATATAAACTATATCTAGACTTTATATATATATATATATATAAAGACTATATACAGTAAAGCAGTATAGCACCATTGTGATGAGTTTTACTTTCCAGTGGCTACTGTGTGGTGTTTTATGCATTTGGTAAGATTTTACATAATTTAGAACAAATAATGAATTCCTTCAGGTGGTAGTAGATTTCACTTATGATTTGCATTTTATTTTCTTCAGTATCTTTCATTATTTTGCTTTTGATTATTGCTTCTGAAGTTGGGTCTTGTTATTGCTTAATCAATTACTTTGGAGAACTCTGCATTTTTCCACTGTCTTATAATTAAATCTCTCAGTCATTTTGTGTCTTTTTCTTAAGCCAGATAATCTTTTCACCTCTTTTTGTGCAGGGTGCTGTCTAGGCTTTTTGGCAGACCCCTGTATATCCTTTTATTCAGTGCTTTTTAGATATTGGACATTAATCTAACTGTAGTGTTACTTGAAATACTATTGTAGCAATTCTTTCTCACCATTTCCCACCATGTCTGGAGCTCTGCCAATACAGATATTTAGTAAAGTTACTGCTTTGGACAGAGGGACAATTTGCATGACCAAAGATATCTATTTTGTGAATATAAGTAGTTATTTGAGTCACATAAACTGTTGTAAAAGACTGTCCCTCAAGAGTCTGTCCAGAGATGGTACTGCAGCTTGCTTGTGTATTAAGGGTGGAATATTTTAGGAGAAATTTGATTTTATACAGAAATAATGGCATGTCCCACTGCTGCATGATATTCTGTGGGGTTTGTGCTCCTTACTCCATAGAGAGTTTGACTCTTCTGGAGTATCTTGAAGCCATTCTTTTGGATGTGTTCATCTGCCTGTAGAGCCTCTCAAGCAGCCCACTCTTTTTGCAAGAGATGTGAGAAGTAAACTCAGAGTTAGGAGAATTAATTCAGCTTTTTTTGTATTTATTGTTCTCATTGTAGGCGATGGACGAGGTTGAGCCTCTCAAGATTTTATTCCAAGCTATTTTCTGATAGAGGTGCCAAACATTTGCATGGGCTGAATGCTCCTGGTATTCTGATAAAATCACTCGATTTGATGTGGTCCCTTTTGCCTTAAACTCTGTCTGTGTTGCTGCCCTGTGAAATTAAAGGATAAATTACAATATTTGGTGGAAGAGATGACAGTATTTTAACACAGCTCCATGTAATATGCAGAATTACTTTTGCCTTTTACCTCTGTTTGCAAATTCTTGAAGAGCTGGCTAACTACATTTTGCTTCATCTCTTAAAGAAAATGGGCTTTGCATGTAGGGGCTGTGCAGCTCTTATCTGAGGATGTGATTGCTTCTGAACAGCCGATTGGATTAGGGGGTCAGCTGGCAGATGTTCTTGTCTGTGCTGTGCATGTTAAAAGAGGTGTAGCATTTACATTTTTCCATCCCTGCTCTTCTCTGAATGCACTTGCACAGCATGCAGTTGCTATTTAATATGTAGTTCTACATGATGAAAGGTTAAATATGAGTTAAGGGGGGTTTATTGCTTGAATATTCTTTTATAGGTTTTTAGGATTACTGTGAGAAAATGCATCTTATTTTCAAGACTCATGAATTCAGCGGATTATTTTTTTATTGATTGCCCTTATACATATTCTTGTCAAGGTTTTCCCTCCTTCTCCTTCCTCCCCCTCTCTCCCTTAGCCAATACTGCTAAAGGACAAATATCATAGCAAGTAGTTTATTCCCTCTATTTATGCTGTATATATTTAAGCAAACGTTTTTAAAGGATTGGGAGTATTTGTAATGGCAGGCATAGCAGGAGAAAAATGTAGTGTATTTAGAATGTAAACTTACTGCTTTCATTAAAATGAATATTTTATTCTTAACGACATTTTCTGGTGTTCACTGTAGAATATGAGAAATACAGACACTTTACACATTAGAATTGCAAGTACTGCTCCTGAAATTGCATAGAGGAGTTTAAGGAAAGGCAAAAGGAGGGTGGTGGTAAGCTTACAGACCTGATCTCTCAGGTGTAAAGATGTATGAATTTCTGGAATTTTTTTCATACAAAGTAGCTGCTTTAGGTCCATTTGCACTTCAGAGAAAACAGTTATTTTCAGCATTTTCAAAACTTTTAGACTCCTGTATTAACAGCTGTTTGAACTGAGCATCTTTCATTGCTGTCACTGAATTAGCTCCCATCTAGTCCCTGGCTGGTGAGTCCCACATATAACCTTCTCCTTCCAGCATTAGGAATTGGCCTTCAAGAATATCATTATTAATGTACTAACTATAAATAGCTCCTGCTCAAATCACTTCCTTTATAATACAGATTTCTAATTTTCAGAAAAGTCCCTGAACTTTTTGAGGCACTCAGAATCTCTTCCTCTCATGGATTTCAGGTGCCAGTAGTTCATTCCTGAGCCTGTATCAGTCCATCAGCTGTGTCAGATCCCTTCCTGTGCCATGCAGGAAATCATCTGACTTGCATTTTTATCTGGCTCTATCAGCACTCTTTTGCTTCAAGTGCAACTTAACTTCTAGGGAAAAAAAGAGTCCTATTCTTAATCTCTGTTTTACCTTCAGAAGATCTGATTTCCTCCCATTCTGCCTTAAAGGAAGGAATTACATCATAAAGCATATCTGTCCTCTGATTCTAGTGCAATTTTACAGCATCATAAAAATGACAAGTTTTTTTGCCTGCTGCACTAATGTGGGAGAATTTTCAGTGTCAAAAAATAGCAAGAACCTCCTGTTTCTCTTTACACTTTTCTTGCTGTGACTGGAAGTTTTGGTACTAAGCTGCAATTTAGTTTGTCAAATGAGCAGAAGTAGGAGCCAAATCTGAG